ATGTCTCGCATCGCGACAGCGACGAGAACGACGGTGGTGGTGCTTTAAGGACGCGGAGTGCTGCACTCGACAAGCGCCTCATAAGCGCCGACCTTCGCCACCGACGCGTATATTACGCTCGAGAATTATTATTCCTCCATGCGCCGCGCTGTTGAATAACTGAGACTTTTATAAGAAATGCAAATGTACAAAGGAAAAATCTATAACGGATATCAAATCTCATATATCAATAATAATCTCATAATCAATAAAATCAACAAGATCAAAATCGTGTCCAATTTTCCGCCAATATTTGAACATATAGATTTATCATATATCCGTGAATATGAAATTCCTCAAAATTTAATGAAACCATTGAAACATTGGATATGTATCCGTGAATATGAAATTCCTCAAAATTTAATGAAACCATTGAAATAAATAATTGAAATGATTAATTTAATGAAGTTATATGAAACAAAACTTGATGAATAATCATATTAATAAGATAATTTGATACGCAAATATAATATTTCTATCTTCAAAAATCTATTAAGATACTGAGAAAAAATACTTAAAAATTTATTCGTGGGATATAAAGTTTATTTCTATGAATAAACTTGATATATCAATTTTCCTCAGTGAAGCAGCAACGCGTCATTCGTCGCCGTATAACGCGCCATCGCGACGATGACGGTGTCGCGGAAAAGAACAAGAAACCACGGGGTTGGAATTCTTTCTTCTTCGTGAGGCATTTTCCCGATGCAACCCTTGACAGGGCACAGAGTCGCGGGCTACTTTGATCGCCACTAAAACATTTTCGCTACCCTTCTTCTTGCCGAGGCTCGACCCCTTCGCCGTACCTTGCCGTCGCTACCGATAGTAGCTGCTGCTATTTACGCCGTGATGGCGGCAGGCGGTTGCATTGCCTGCTACCAACTAATTACAGCGCGGATCAAAGAATTCATCGACGACGTCGCGACGTGAAACGACGCAAACTCGACTCGACGCCAAGCGCGTGTACAAGAGAAACGGAACCGAGCAAGAGGGAGCAGCCGTACAAGCCCTTACGTACGTAACGCATAAAACCTGAGTCTATGTGAGCGCTCATACTCACACCAAAAAGAACACGCGTCGTCATACGCTTCTATTACACTCGTACGCAGTGGACTGTGCAGCGCCCGTCTCGCTGACTCGACGAAGGCTACCAAAGAGCCCGAATAAATTCGTTCCCACGCGCTGCTTTTGCGAACGTCTCGCTAAGTCACGCGAATTTCTCAATTTGTCATCGAGAACTTCGATGACAAGTCGCGAATTTATGATTCGAGAAAGCACTTTTCAATCAGAAAACAATCTAACAGCATCCGTAGTATCTAACAGCATAAGATATTTTATATCTTATAGCGTTTATAGCGTGAGCTTTCCCGCGCTTGAGTCTTAGAGACGGAGGATCATGAGAAAGCAACAACATGGGAAAGGAACAACCTTCGTGTGACGCTTGACAGGAACACAAAAACACCGAGAGAATATTTGGCCCCCTTCGAGTAGACTCTGCGCTTTGATTTATTTCAGCCATCATTTCTGTCGACCCGTTTTCCATCTCGGCTGTCTCCAAATTTTTTTTTCTTCCGCCAACTATCCTTCTGATCAAGCGTGATAGCGTGGTTAAACGAATTCGTATGTGAGGGGAAGGAGGGCGATAACACAAAGCCGAAGCCGTTGACTTCCCAAGAGAGTCACGAGTGGCTTCTCGATTCTATAACACGAGTCACAGCGCGGAAAGCTGCTGTCGCGTCTCATCAGTGCGCGGTCTCTCCGGCGGTCTTTTCCTCATAAGAAATCCACTGGGCAAACATAACGAGAGCGAGAGAGAGAGAGAAAGAGAGCATAAAGATGGAGGAGGGGAAAGCTTTGGCGAAACTTCGAGTCCCGACGCATCAAAGCAAGAATGCTCCTTCTGTCGGAAAATTAGGCCGCGTGACGTCTTTGAGGACTCACCCCCGCCGCCCGGCAGCTATCAGCTTGGCGACTACTTCGCTTCGACATTAACGAGTACATTCCGCACCGGTAAAAAACAAAATTATTTCTGCGCGCTCGTCGAACCGCGAGCGAGAATTGCCGTCGCGCGTCGTCATCTTTTGAGGTCTCGATCCGGAGTTGCTCCGTGATGAGATCGAGGAGGCCCGCCTCTACCCGCCCTAGCCGTGATACGCGCTCGAGGATCACGAATTCGTGGAAAAAAAAAAACAAACGCGCTCATTAGGGTCTCATCGTGGATATTTTTCTTTTTTCTTTTTTTTCTACACCATCCTTTGCGTGTACGCGAACGAATGTACTTTATGCCGCGCACTCGACCGTTGTTTGTCGACAAAGACTTTTCGGCCGAGCGATCGTTGCTTCCCGTTTTGCTTCTTCATCCATCTGTATGAAAATTAGCGTGCAAACGACGAGTAGAGTGGAGAAGAGACGGTCGCGTTGGTGGAGAGATGCCGCGAGTTGATTGCGTTCGATGCGCACGCACGCACGCACGCCAGCTCGTAAGTGAGAGTCATCGCCGAGTAGATGAAGAGCGCGAGACCAAATTCGTAATGGGATTCAGAGAAGAGGAAAAACCGCGAGAGCGAGAGTGAGGATGAACGTGGCGAAGGGGTGAGGGAGAAAAGAGCGCCTCTCTCGTTCTGACCGGCTGTTCCTCTCTGCGATGTCACAAAGTATAATACGAACTAATTACCCTGTCGTCGTCAAAGCTGCACTCGACTGCCACTGGGGGACAATAAGTGGGCACTTTTGCGAACTTTTCTGCATACGTGGTATCGGAAGCGAATTCTCCTCCTGGCACAAGGAGATAGAAATAAAAAAAAGAACTAGAACGAGAGACAAGAGCGAGGAATCTAGAACAGGGAAGAAAAGAAAGAAGCAGAGATAGAGAGAGAGAGAGGAAAAGGGCAGTCAGCAGCGGAGGGACCATCAGAGAACGGAAATCCACAAAAGAGCGACAAAGACGAAACGAGAGGGCACGAAGCATGGAGGAGCTTTTTTGATTGATTAGATCCGTGATACGAAAGAAGAAAAGAGAAAGAAGCGAAGAGATGACGCGGGCGCGCGCGCTACAAAGCCACGCCGCCGCCCCCTCGACTGCCTCTTTCGCGTGGAGCCGTGCGCGCTTGGGGGATAAATCAAAGCAGGTACCATCATCCAACCACGATGACCATCGTGCGAATCTCCAAGGGAAAAACACTGGTAATTAGCCTCTCCAACGTCCCACCCCCATCTGGACCCCGTTTCGCGAGTCGGAGGCACGTTCGACGACATTATCGTTGTATCTCTTATACTCGATGAAGCAGGGGGACAAGGAAACAAGGGAGGCTGAGGTCGAGGGGGACGTGGATGCGTACGTGTGCGCGTCAGAGAGAAAGAAAGGGAGGCAGGACCCATCGTCGCCAACGACGTCGGTCGTCGCTCTTGCTCGCTGCGAAACGCAACGCGTACCCCACGAACCCCGGGAGGACCGAGGAGTCCGGAGCCGCGCGACAGTGGGGGTGAAGGAAGACTTCAAAGCTACCGAAACGATTGTTCGGCGACGCTCCCGCGCGTGTGTACCTCGAGAGGCAAGCGAAGGGGCGCAAGCACTCGCCAACGCGCGTCCACCCCTTTGATTACTTTCAAGCTACTCTTCCTCCTGCTTCTTTTCTTTTTCTTCGGATTCCCGCCCCTTCTCTCTCTCTCCCCCCCCCTCTCTCTTTCTCTTTCTCTCTCAGCAAGGAGCAAGGAGGACAGTCGTTGTAGAACGGTGGAAACACGCCGCGCTGCAACGCACACGGTTCTTGTGCGCAAAGCACGAACGAAGAAAAAGAGTGTGCACGATGAACGAGCGCTGAGCGGCGCCTTGCGAAAGGGATGAAGAGAGATGCTGGAGTCTCGCGAGAGATGCTGGGACCCCTCGCCATGTATATGCGATACGAATAACGTTCACGACGGAAAGTGATCGGATTCTCATCGATTTCACGAGCACTCGCTTGACTTCTGTTACGTACTGCAACTTAAATTTTTGAAATCCTCATCTTAGAAACTCGTTCATTTCCCGATAGCCCGGTGGTCTTGTGCGCCAGGTCCGCATCTAAATTACAGGAAAAAAAAGAAGTTCGGTTGGATTAAACGAATGTCTGGTGAAATACGAACGAGCCAAAAATTCCGGTCGAAATTACTAGAACTCCGTTCAAGTTAACCAGATTTCTGATTAACCAGAACTTGCAACTATATTCAAGTTGATCAGATATCTTGTTAACTTGAGCAGAGTTTTGATAACTTCAACTCTGGATTTTCTAACTCGTTAACATTTCACTAGACATTTGACTATTCCAAACAAATTTTTCTCTTTCACGTGCGAACACCTAGCCCGATTATTATTGCAAATTCCAAACATAACAAATGCTGCAGATCAATTCGTAGCTCGAGCTCATAGAAATTAACACAAACCTTCCCTCAGTTGGAATTAAGAAAAATCAGAAACATCTAGCACCTACAAAGACCGAGAAGAAGACGTCGTGATTAATTAGTGCACTGTTGAGTCTCTCTTTGCTCTTCCTTCCGGAAGGGTAGGAAAAATGCAAATTAATCAGATTTATGTAGATCTCTCTTTCTCTCTCTCTCTCTCTCTCTCTCTTTCATTTTCGTGGCCTTCGTACCTCGCCGAGCCAGTTCCGAGTCGACCACTCGTCGATACTCGTTACGAGCGAGTAAGGCTAAGTGCCCATGACGGGATTCATAACTCGCGTAGTATCTGGTCCTGCGAAGCGTCATTCGGCGAGCGCGACTGCGACGACGAGCGCTATCGTCGGGAATTACGAGCGTCATTAGCATCAGCGGTCCGAGTTAATGCAACGTCAGTCCGAGTGTTCTCGCGCCGTGAGCGACACAGTCGCGATCCCCGAGGAACGACGTCGCCCCAGCGGTATGCGCCTGATAATGCGACGATACATCCGGGGAATCACGGTTGTACGATGTAATAATTAAAGTTACGACACATCACATCCGGACGACTCCACGGAATAATCGGCGAGACGTCACAACTTGACGTGATCTCCTCGCGATCTTTCTCTGCCTATCGTTTATCTCGCGCTTCATGTCGCACCACGAGACGTTTGATAATTATATCATTTTTCACAGTCTTCCCTCAAAACTCGTCTCCTCGTCTCCTCGCCTCCTTCGCGGGCGTCTTCTACGTCTTCTACGTCTCACTTTGTACCCAGAGACTGCGCGGACTCGTTCCCGATTACACGACGCGAATACAGTCCCGCGTGCTCGAGAGTTATTAATATCTTAATTACGGCAAGCTTGTTTTTGCGAGGTCGTCTGGTCGATCAGTTCGTCGAGGCGGGACAAGAGTCCGCTTACTCGAATCGACTGCCAACGTCAAAGACACGGTATGTATAAGAGTGTCGTTCGTCTCGCAGGCGATCTTTATGAACCTTCCGCTAGTCGCGGGTCTTTGAGAAAAAATGAAGAGAGATTTCACTAGACATTTTATAAATCAAAAGGAAACACTTTAAAAATCAGTCTTGTATCATTCCTCACGATCTCTTAGGTAATTACTTTTCACCTATTGTTCCAGACTCTTGATAAGCTACCTAACAGTTAAATTATACGCTTGTGTTTGTGTAATTTGAAGAGAAAACCAAGACAGATATATGATTTATTTGTTAGGTGGCTCACCAAAATATTGGAACGACCGGCTCATAGGAAGATAGGAAAAATATGGCGGGTATCATTCTAATTCTCACTCTGTGCCGCACCAAAACAAAGTGATTCAACAGCCCTCAGCCAACCGCGCGACTACCCAAAGGTTAAAGTCTATCTGCAACTTCCTTCTCGATTGATCCCGTTTTTTCGGCCGCTCATTTCATCTCTCGTCTCTGTGACGAACGGACCTAGTCATGAAGTTACACGATCGGTCCTTCGGCCACGAAAGCGGCCGTAATCGAAATACGTGATCGCGGATAACCCCACACCGGCGAGCTCGCGACGCCACGCGTCGCCGCAAAGCGTCGCGATGCCGCCGCGGGCGGAAGCACGCACGCGCCCGCGATCGAAGCCGGCGAAAAATTCGCGGCGATGAGCAGGAAGAGGCGCGACGGGGATGAAGAGCCAGAAGGAGCGACACGCGGACACGCGCAGCTGAGCTGCGAGCGTCGATAAAAGCTAGCGTCGCCGTGCGGCCGCGTGCATTTATCGCGCGTCTACGAAACCGTCAACCAGAACACAACCGGACACGTGGAAGACGCGTAACCTCTCGCGATCGTCAATCAGCCTCTTGCTTTCGGTTGCGGGATGTCGGGGAAACGAGCGTCGCCACGTAACGCGCAAACACGAATTTGAGAGAGGATAAGCCGACTCTTGTTCGTCCTCTTCTCCTCGAGCAGAGACAGATCTCGTCGCAACTTGGGCAACCTTGTTGGGGCAGTGACGGACTTAAGGCAGTGGCAAATGACCGGGAGACGCCGGGAACCGCGACGATTTGCCGGCACGACGAGCGACTAAGACAAATCGCAGGTGTCGACCTGATCTTGGGGCTTTTCAAGTCACTTGAGAAGAAAATCGCATCACTCGGACCGTGTGCTATCGACGACGACGACGACGGGGACAGACGACTCCGTCAGCCGCGTCCGGAAAATCCGCCGGGTAAACGCGGCAGGATGGAGAACGGGATGGAAAGGGAGGAATAGAGAGAGCGAGAAGACGGAAGAGACAAGAAAAGCGTGTTATCCGCACGGTTGTCGACGTGTCGTCGGCGTGACGTCAGTAGACTGAGTAGTGAGTCGATAATCGGTGCGATAAACGTAGCCTACGTCGATACATTATCGCGGACAGTTTGCAATAGGAGCCAGGCGACAGGAAGGCATCGGCGAATGTCGCGCGTCCAAGGAACACGACCACCAACGTCGCGGAGCATAATCTAATCGAGACACTGTCAGGTGAGAATTCCAGACATAGATGCAATGACCGCGATCTGTATTTTACCGTTCCAGCGCGTTATCGGAGCGCGCGTACCAGCAATCGAGTTATCTCTAGGCGAACGATCCGCGAGATGCGCGAGTAGCGTGTGTAATGCCCGGTCGTTGCCCGAAACGACGCTGCTGTGTAAGGAAGACAAATGTCTTCCACGGCAATTAAGTGCAGGAAGGTGGTAGACACTCATCCTAACGAAGTTCTCCCTTCGGCGTGCAAAGGAGAATGAGAAAGGAAATGAGAGAACGAGAGAGAAAGATAGTTTGCACTTCGTTCCCGCCGCAAACTCGAAAAATCGAGTAGTCGATGTACAAACGATAGCAGACGAGACTTCTTCTCGCCGTATCGCATGTATTAGCAGTAAACATTCGGTCACTCGGACAGATTGCACGAGTACGTGCAACACGCGGATGCAAATCACGCGCGGTGACTAACTCGTCCATATCTAATCGCTGTTAATTAAGGTGATTAACGAGGAGAGACCATTAACATGACGGGGAGATAGCAATCGGGCTCGATCAGATTAGCGGGATTTCAATCTCGACGCTCAGTCCGCGCCTTCGCGCTTATTTAAAAGTTTATTTAAATTAAAATCGACGCGCTCTCTCTCTCTCTCTCTCTCTCTCTCTCTCTGCACGCGAGTGGCATGAATATTCATAAACGGTGGTGCGCGAACGCTTGTGAAGTGACTACACGAATTATTCTCGTTCCGCGGTTGAAATCACAATGATAAAGGACATCCTCGTTCACCGCTCAGTCTATCTGCCCCGCGTTGTGCCCGCGCGTACATCGCGCTCTATCTGAAAATCTCCGCCGCGGCTTGTCGTTCAAATTCGTTCCGCGCTCGATCATTCATCAGCGTCGTGTGCAGTCGGGTTAGCGCACTTCTGCACGCCGATCTTATCTCCCGGTGCAGCGGTACTTCGCGGGAATGAGCTCGCACCCTCGCCGAAAATGAAACTCGCGGCCACCATGCTTCTCCGAACTGATCGTATCGAGATGGAAAAAAAAACAGAGAGAGAGAGAGAGAGAGAGAGAGAAAGAGAGAGCCCAGAGAGAAGCTTCGCAAAGTTTTACAAGATCGCACATAGATTTTCCGTGAATGCACTAAGAGATAGAAAAAGAAAAAGAGAGAAAGAAAAGCATTTATTTGGAAGGGGAACCTTCTATGAGCCTAAATATAAGTTTCTATAACTTATAAGTAGGGTGGCTAACTCTCTTAGTCAGCCAACTTCGGAATATCAACTTTGACAAGTCGGGAAAAAAAATCAAGATTTTGGACAAATGGAGTTCCGTCTAGAGTTCTTTCGGGACGCCTCTGTAGAGAACCAAAAGTCAGGATCCTACAAAATTCGGGACGGTTGGTCACACTATTTATAAACAAGGTTTTGATAGGAATAACACTAGATCAGCATAAACATATTTATACTTATAACGAATGTAGTTAACCCTTCAGTAAGCGCGTGCAGCCCTTATTTTAGCCACATGGTCTACCGTTGTAAACCATAATGTTTCGCAGGTTTCCGCAGGCGAGGTTCAACCGGCATTCAAAACAACTATAGAAAGTATTAATTCGAGGCGTTCTTCCAACGCCAAAATTATATCTCAGATTAGTAATATACAAACAACATTGGTTTTTACCACGCGCCTACTGAAGGGTTAGACGAGAGTGTTAAAAAAGAGAGAATCTCAGCGAATGGGGAGAAAAAGAGCGAGAGGATCGGCCACAGGGGCGTTCCTCGAATTACCTGCGGAATTATCGGCGGTATTAGTCGCGCGCGACGCGGTACATCACAATTAATTCGTAATTAAATCTCCCAGGCCGAGGGGGAGAAGGGAGGCGTGGTCCCTCTCCCCCGGCCGATCCTGCCACCCCGCGCGTCACCGTTCTCTCCCTTTCTCGGCGACGTGCACACGACGTAGCGTCGCGTGGGTGTCCGGGCTCGGAAGCGCGCATCCGAACGGCGATGGATGTCGAGGGTCGTATCGTCGCGCCGGCCGGTGTGACAGCAGGAAATAAAGGGCAAGCCGTGCATTAGCGTCGACGGTCAAAGGGTCACCCCGAATATCGACCGAGACGGTCGACGGTGTTAAATTGCTATTTGTCGGTCGGCGAATGGCCCCGCGCGCCCCTTGACTACCGTCCGATATGTCGGCCGTCTTGTACACTTTGACTTGTCCAATCGACGAGATAATAACGACGCTCCGCGGGACGCTCCGTGGCTCTCGACACATCGACCATGCGTTTTCCGCCCCGTCCCTACTCGTCCCGACCCCGACCGATTACTCCGATCCTCCGGATCGCAACCGCAAGACGCTTCCACTGTCGTTGGCATTCTGTGGTAGAGCGCATTCGCATGTTCTCGATGGAATCTAACGTCGCCACTGTGTTCTATTCGCAGGCTCGTTTCAGACGTGTCAAACGTGTGTCGCGAGGTGCATATTACATGAGTTACAAAACTTGTGCAGGTAGCGACGTCGAACTTGTGAGTCAGCTGTTTTACTGAGTTCACTTGTGGCAAACGACACAACCGACACTCAATGAGAGCCTGTTTCTAAGCAGCTTTCTCTCTCTTTCTCTCTCCGTCGGATCGATATTGATTTATGAATTAACCACGACGTGTATAACCGGATGTGGCGACTCTCTTGTTGAGATGCCATCGGCCGCGCACAACTACTAAAGGCTGTGGATGGCTGGCGTGTTGATTCGCGACCAATTGTGAACATCGGTCGGTCGTATTATCTCGACAACGATTGTCCCGGAGGGAGAGGAGAGGGGGGGAGGTGCGCATGAGCACCGCACACAGAGACGCGAGGGAAAATTCAGGAAAAACAGCTCGCCCTCGAGGAGCCCTCCGCGCAAATACGGCGGCGGGCTAACGCGTAGATTGTTTACTGTAGGATCGTTCTCGACGCGGCCGAAGATTACTTTCGCCGTCCTGATCGCGTTTCCGATCGAGTTGCCGGGCAGCGCGGAAAACTCGATACGAATTACCGCCCGGGGGTATAATATCAGCCATTCGAGCCGTCGCGTCCCCCTCCGACGCCAAGCGGAATCCCGTCTGATCCTTTCCGCCGGTTTCGGTGCGTCACGTTCATCCTCTCTTCGATCCTCCACTACCACCACCACCGCCATCGCCATCGCCATCGACACTGCCATCGCGTAGCTTTATTGCGCCCTTATTATTAAGACGCGGAGCGAGGCGATACGGGGCGCAAAGAGCGGCGCCGCTGAGAGAAGCGGCACAATCCGCGAATAATCCTGGCACAATTTCTGCGATCAAATCCGCCTCGCGCACGTTGACTGACGATACGCGGAGTAGACGCGCTTAATCTCTCTGTGCTGCTATCGATTTCCCGCCATCCTCCTCGAATGCCGCGAGTTCACGTTGTTCGAATCCCGCTATGGAAATATCGATTGTTCGTGACAGCGCTGTTGCTCGCGTTAATGGCGAAAGTTTTGCAATAACCGATATATTTCTCAGCTAAATGACGGCAAATTAATGAAAATTCATGCCATTCGACGGGCTTAACAATTTGTAAAAGAAAATTATGCAGATTTTCGGGAACAAACGCGTCTTTCTTTCTTTCTATCGCGAGGCAACAAGCAATCGCATCAAGCGCGTTCTATGCAAATCACGAATACCGGTGAGCAGCGATGAAAATCAATATTTTTCTTTCCCGAATGCACGATGCGACGGAATGAAAGCTGTGAGCCGCGGTGTAGCTGCGACAGGTTATGCAACGATGCAGTGTACAGTGTACAAGCGAGACGCGAATTTGATGTTTCCCGTTTGACACGTGCACCTCTGCGGAAAGCGTAAGGTAAAAAGTACCAATATTAGGACACTGATAACACTGGCACCTAACTTTGGACATTCCTATTGTTTTGATATTTAAAAATATGGACATTTAAACTTTCAACATAGACTATATGTATACATGTATTCCGACAATTCGTTATACAGGCTGTTGAAAAACAACATGGCACAAATTTATCTACGTGTTCCTCAGACGAAGAACTAAGTTTCTAAGAACAAAAGTTCATATAAACATGTGTCCGAAACAGCTTAGTTTTTTAGATAGAGGGCTTTGAAAATTGCAATTTTTTTTGTAACGATTATAACTTGGAAACTAATGACAATAATTAAGTGAAATTTGGTACATGTCTATTCTTAAGTAAACCCTTTCTGAAAATGCCAAAAAAGTTTTTGAATAAAAACTGGAAATAAGGGTAATAAAAAAAGCGTGGGGTAATTTTAACCCTATCTTTGTGAATAGAAAAAAAATTCTATTTGAATACCATATTTTAAAAATTCAATTTTAAGACAATTTATTATTATTGTTTATTATTATTATATTATTACAATAAAAAATTGCAATTTTCTAAGTCCTCTATCTCAAAAACTAAGCCGTTTCGGATACATGTTTATATGAACTTTTGTTCTTAGAATTGTCTGAGGAACACGTAGATAAATTTGTGCCATGTTGTTTTTCAACACCTTGTATATTCGTAATGTTCGTTTTATCACGCTAAATTTTACGTGTTTGTAAAATGGTAGACACTGTATATATATAATTGATATGTGTGTGTGTATATATATATATATATATATATATATATATATATATATATATATACATATTCTGAATGCCAAACACTGTTTATTTAATTGAATAAAGTTATCATTAATGGTGGAAGAAATATATCATCCCGTTGGTAGCGAAAGAGTAGAGCTCTCTGAGGAAGCGTCACAGATTGGGAAACATCGCCCGACACATAAATAATGTTGCGTGAATTCGCTGACATTGGTGCAGCCGACTTCTCGTGATTCGTCCGTGCTAAGGAGGTATAGTTTTATTTCACTTTGCGATCGAAAGTATTATTGCGGGGTACGAGGACGGGGTCGCATTACTGGTAGCGCCATTAGCGCACGTCAAAGGGTAAACCGGTCACGCACACGTG